GACGCCTTTGATAATGTGGATTTGTTATTGAATTTAATTCTTCGTATGTTGTAATGAAATCGAGTAACAATTCATTGAATGTATTAATATTACCACATGGAAAAGAGTATTTAAGTAAATTCTATTGTTATTTTAATAGAGACATTACATATGTTGTTGATTTAAATGTGTTTAGTTTCAATCATCAGTATAATCTGTAAGAGTTTGTGAAATGTATTTACAAGCTTTGTGGTATTTAAGCTTGGATGATAATAAATGACCCCCATTTGGTCTAACACATAAATTGTCCGAGATAATTACAATGTAATTTTGATTTAGTGTCGCCATACTTTGATTGATGTGTTTGATATTCAAATTCTTGCTTTATATATTGTTTATTCCTTCTATTTTTAATTTTCGTGTTTATTAAACAATCAAAAATACAATAAATTATTAATATTCTGTTGGTATACAAGCAAAATGGATCTTTATATGTCATTTTTATGTTATTTTAAGGTTTTTGATGTTTTCAATGCTCATTAATTGTTCGATTTGTCTTTAAAAAAAGTAGAACCAAACAACTCTTTTCGTATTTGTGTCGACTATGTTAAATTTTAAAAGCAAAACAACGCCATAATGTCTCTCTTTAGTCATTTATATTGTATTTTTATTCGGATAAGAATGTTAATTTACTTCAAATATAAAATAAAAGTGTTTTAAATATAAAACACTTTTCTTGTATTAAAAAGTTATTATATTGTTTGTATTGTTATAGCAATTGGATTGTTTTATTGGTTGTTCACAACCAAATTATTTAAACTTTTTATAGTTATCACTTGTTGTTTTTTATTTTCAATTCAATAATCACCTGTTTTGTTTGTTTTCAAAGTATAAAAAACTGTTATTTGAAAAATCAGGAAATAAAAATAAAAAAATGTCTATCAAAATACAAAACAAAATAATAATTTCAAATTTATTTTTATATTTTCTAGCAAAAATACTATTAATTTTAATAATCAACCCTATCATTACAATTATTATAAGAAAAATACTTTGTTGTAAAAAATATATATATCAAACAAATAACAAATTTTTTATATTTAAATTATATTTTTATTATTAAAAACAATAAAGATTTAAAATCATAATAATATATTTAGATTCAACATTCCAATTTATTAATACGCCCAATTTGTGATGTTGATTAAAAAGTAACATGACAAACAAAAAAATTTTTTGATTTTTATTTATTTTTTAAATAAATTGGTTGTTATTCCTTTGTTGTTTGCTTTTTAATAATACATATTTTTAATTTATTTTAATTCCATTTAACCATTGAAATTTATTTAATTTGCCTGTTCTTGAGAGAACACATTTTTTAAATATACATTTTTTGAAAGGATTTACTGTAACTGACAGACAAGTTTCAATAACTTTTTGAAAAAAGGCAATAATAAATAAAACATATGAATGTTAATTACTTAAAGTGCTCAACAACACTAAATACAAAAGTTTAAATAACTTACAAATAATAATTGTTTTATTGTCAAATTATTATAAATATAAAATAAATTATTCAACCTTTACTGAAGATGTTATATCTTAAAAAAATCTTTTAATTTATAACATCTTTGATCCAAATCATTTAATCTCATTTTGTCCACTATTTTTATGAATAGGAATTGCCACGTAATTTGGTCCAAGTATGTCACTTATCTTTAATTAAAAATTGTATTAACAACAGTTTGTTTGAATTGTAATAACAAATTATATGTTTATTTGGATTTGATTATATGGATACAACATAAAACAATTACATCACAAGTTATCTAGCTGTTTTATAACATCTTTGATATCAAGTCTCTTGATGGGATCGTGAACCCAGCATTTATCCACAATTGAAAATATGTTATCATCCATGTCATCTTTCTTTTCCGGTCGTTTGCCATTTTATATTTTAAATCAAGCAATTATTGTAATAAATTTGAAATAGCACACACAGAAACATTATTTTAATTGTTATTTAATAATAATTATTAACTATATAATAGAATTTGTAATAAAAAATATAAAGAATTTGGTTTTTAAAATGGTTAATCTTTCGGGCACATAAAGTGATAACACGAAAGCACTTATGGCTATTAACTCACCTCTCACTTTTAAAACTCACTTGTCAAATAATGACTCACTACTTCGCTTTTTGACTCACTTTTATAAAAGTAACTCACTTAAAAAATAATTTACTATTTTAATGGTTTTTTAAATAATAAAATAAAATTTCTTCAAAATAATAAAATATAGTTTTAATTTAAATTACTATATAAGTATCCACTCAATCAAAAACTTGACCATTTGGGCAAATTTGCCATTAATCAAAATAATTCATATCTGGATTGTGATGAAAAAACAAAAATAAATAACAAAATAAATAACATTTTGACTTACTTAAATTATTTTTGTTATTGAATTAAAGTTTACATAAATGAAAAAAAATATAAACAAATCGATTAATCGATTTAAAAAAATACTCTTTGCGTTCAATAATTATATCGTTGTCAACACGAAAGATATCGCCATACAAATTCAACGAAGTGAATGTGTTGTTACACATTTGAATTTATTATATTACGATTTTAAAATTTGTATCATTTTTGTTTTGAACAGTCAATAAAAAATTAAATAAATAATAAATGAGTTATTTAACCAAAGATATTTGAATTAAACGAACAATATTTTAAAGTAAAAACATTGAATAATATAAAACCAAAATGATAAAAATGTTTTTCGTCATCAAGAACAATTACATACGTTTGTCATAACCCAAACAACTGGTTTAATTGTTTATTAATTACAACAATACATACAATAAAACTACGAATAACAAAGACACATTATCAATAAAGTACACTTTTACTACAAACACAACTTAATATATAAAAATTTAATCATGTAAAATGTTAAGATGTCGGAATAATAACTTATTAGAGTATATGATGAACACGACATTAAACAGCTGAGTAATGTTTATAACCAAAATATCATGTAAATTTTAACAACAACACAAACAATGAAAATAATTAATTAGGTTGTATTGATTAATTTCTATGATGAAATTATTTTAATTACGTTAATTATTAAAAATGTGATTTAAAAAATGAAGTCGATTAACATATGTAAAGTTTTACACATTTAAAGTTGTCTCTAAGTTGTATACCTTTTAATTAATTGGAAAAACAAAGTTAGTGCATTACAAAACATTTGAATGAGTAAATAAAGATAAACATTTGTGTTAATTTTTTTATTGATATTTTTTGATAAAATATTAAGAGATAAATAATTTAATTTCTGATTGGAGCTTATGTTTAATAATTGTGACATTTCGTTTGTTCAATGAAAAATCTTTAAGAATTTGTCATAGTATAATACTTTTTTTTTAATTTTAGTCATTGCGTCGTTATTCACAAATATAATACAGCAACTTATGTTAACAATTATAGACAAGTGTTATTTATTGTTTTATTTTTACTTGCTTATCATAATATTTTTTTTCATCTTACAACACACAAAATGAAACCATTGTATTTCTTTAACATCACAACAATTATCAAAGTAAAATAAAAACAAATTTAATTATTACTTGTTGACGATTTTATAAAAAAGATTCATAAAAAATTACTGTTTATTTTCACACTTTTATGAAAAATATAATACAATTTAAATAAAACATTAAAACTTTTAAACATGTAACTTCATACTAACAACGAAAATGATTCCACCAAATTAAATAATATATTGGTGGAATGTATCTGTTTGGGCATAATAGTATTTTGGATAAAAATATAAACACATATATATATTAAATATATTAAATTTGTTGCCCAATAGTTTATAACAAAACTGTACAACAACTCAAAATGATTTAATTTGAATTGATAAATGTAAATTTTGTCAAATTTTTAATATTGTTGTTTTGGATACTATTTGTACCAAATAAATTTTTTCTTTACCATTTATTTTATTTTCTATTTTTCGAGTATTATAAATATAGTTAATTATGGTTTATTTTTTAAATAAATTTTACAAACTTTATATAGTTGTTGAACTATGGATATACTAAACATAGTTTTTTTTGATGAGTATAGTTTTTTTATAGTAAAACGACTAATATTTAATTTCAAATAGTTAAAGTGAGTTACTTTATGCCAAGGTGAGTTAATAGCCATTAAAAACTAAAAGAAAGTGATCAAATTGAGGTTTTATCTTTATGGTTGAAACATGTACAGTATGGAGAGAAAGTAACACCAGGGTAGAAAGACACACCACATTTTTTCAGTATATAATTCAAGTCAATTTTCGGGAAGAAAAATTCAAAGAAAAATTCCCGAAAAAATAAACAATTTTCATGTGAAAAAATGTGGTGTGGCTTTCTCCCCATTCTTTACTAAATTTTCCGGTAATTGAAAATGACCATAACTAAAGCACTTTTTAAACTATTTTAACATAAAAACTATAAAATATTGAAAAACGCTTTTTATAACAGTGAACTATTATACATTGATACATTTTAATCACAAAGACACAACTCCAATTAACTTCTTTATCAATTGTTATGGACAATATCAATGGATTTTTATGACAAATCGACAACATTAATATAATGATTTTGACTAAAGTAATGTCGATCAATGCGCTGAGATAATGTTTTTTTGTTTTATTGGTATAAAATGTGTATAAACACTATAAAAATAATCAGAATAAGAGTTGGAATCATTTTAACAAATTTTTAAATTTACATGTAAAATAAAGCTACCAATAACTTTAAATACTCAAGTATATACTTTATATTTTTGTATATTATATTTTATTATGGTATATTTATTATTTATTATTTATAACGGTTATATATTTTAAAAGCATGAATCTTTTTCTTTTTACAAAAATAACACAAAAATATATTAAAATGGAAATTATCACAAAAAACTTTTAAACAATTACATCTCAATTTTTTATTGTTTTCACATTTTACCAATTTTAGCTTTTATCGTTAGTCGAATCAATAAGCTTTTTCTTGTTATAAAACATAAATGAAACTTCAAACCAAAATAATGTGATTTTTCAATTCAAAAAAGCTTTCATCTAATAAATTAAAAAATGTCTTATAATATTAACTCTACACTTTTTTACTTGACATTTACTCTTCTATTCGGTATTGTTATGGGTCAGACATATTGTTTAATACAAAACAAACTTACAAAATCAACAACTATTACTAATTCTTGCTATTATGTCTCTAATATGACCATAGGTGATACAACAACAAATGGCTCTATTGTGTTAACAGTCACTAATGGTGCGCAATTAAAATGTAATCTATATCTTGACATCATTGGAAATGGAAGTGTCAAAATGTCTCTACAAAGTTCAATTATTGCAATAAAA